GGAAATCTCTGGGTTGGTTGATTAATCAGGGGATGGGAGGCCACATGGAAATCTCTGGGTTGATTAATCAGGGGATGGGAAGCCCTGGGATGGGAGGCCACACGGAAATCTCTGGGTTGGTTGATTAATCAGGGGATGGGAGATCACGTGGAAATCTCTGGGTTGGTTGATTAATCAGGGGATAGGAGGCCACATGGAAATCTCTGGGTTGATTAATCAGGGGATGGGAGGCTCTGGGATGGGAGACCACATGGAAATCTCTGAGTTGGTTGATTAATCAGGGGATGGAAGGCCACATGGAAATCTCTGACTTGATTAATCAGGGGATGGAAGGCCCTGGGATGGGAGACCACATGGAAATCCCCAGGTTGGTTGATTAATCAGGGGATGGAAGGCCCTGGGATGGGAGACCACATGGAAATCCCCAGGTTGGTTGATTAATCAGGGGATGGGAGGCTCTGGGATGGGAGGCCACATGGAAATATCTGGGTAGGTTGATTAATCAGGGGATGGGAGGCCACATGGAATTCCCCGCGTTGGTTGATTAATCACAAGATCAAAGGGCAACCAGGAAAAAAAAGGTGGGGGGGGAGAGGCCGACAGGACACCCCGCCCTTTTCCCCGGCCCGGCGACCTTAGTGGGCTCGAAAGCCCCGCCCCACGCGAAGCGAGACACCCCGGGGACGATGGGGCTTGTAGTCCGAAGCGGGGGGGGGTGGGGAGGAGGAAGGGGGGGAAAGGCCCGGGCGGTCGCTCACCACCGCCCCGCCGCCCGCGCCGCCCTGCATGGGCCCGTTCTGCGCCGTGTCCGCCATGGCCGCCGCCGCCCGGCTTCGCTCGCTCGACGAGGGGAAGAAGCTCGAAGGCCGCCCGCGAGGGAAGCCGGAGCGACGCTGAGGGGAGAAGGAGGCCGCTTCTGCGCAGGCGCGTGACCCCGCCCGCCGAGGGAGGGAGGGAAGTAGAGACGCAGCGACCTCGCCGCCCGACGCCTCGTGGTGCGCATGCGTCTTTGCCGCCCGTTTCCGGGGGGGTTCACCCGGCGGGGCATGCCGGGCGACGTAGTTTCCCTGAGACGCGCAGAGCGCGTTTGCGTCGTCCCGTCGGTGGGCGGGGCTGGCCGGTGGGCGGGGCTTCCCCCGCTGAAACCCGCTCCGGGCTGATTCCGACGTAGTTTTGGCAAATTCTTTTCGCGTGTCTTTCTTTTTCTTTTTCTTTTTATTTTTATTTTTATTTTTCTTCCCCCACCCCCCAGTCTGCAGGACGCTGAGTCGCCTCGAAGCGCCAGATGGGCGACATATAACGTTAATTCATTCAATTCAATTTTAATTGTATTAATTAATTCAATTAATTGAATGTATTCATTAAATCTACGCTCCGGACTCCGGACTCAGCGACGGTATTTCCAAAACACAATGAATGACACACACACACCATTCCCCACAAACTGTGCTACCATTTTGCAATCTTTAACAATTCAGGATTAAACAAAATACAGGCAGTCCTCAACTTACGACCAGAATTTATGTTGTTAAGTGAGCTTTGTCCTATTTTACGACCTTTCTCGTCGCGGCCGTTAAGCGAATCGCTGCAGTCTGTTCACTTCGTAACCCGGTTGTTAAGTGAATCCGGCTTTTCCATGTCGGAAGGTCGCAAACGGGGATCACGTGACCCCTCCCGGGGAGGGGGTTGACTGCGACCGTCATAACTGCAAGTCAGTTGCCAAGCGTCCGGATTCTGATCACGTGACCGCGGGGGAATGCTGCAACGGTCGTAAAGTGTGAAAAAACGGTCCTAAGTCCCTTTTTTTTTTCAGCGCCGTCGTAACTTTGCAACGCTCACTAAATGAACTGGCGTAAGCCGAGGACGGGCCGCACGTCACATAGCGTGACTTCCGGTGCAGTGCTGCCAGAAGTGGAGCACGCTCCTCCCATCGCAGGGCTGGAAGGGCCCTTGAAGGTCATCTAGTCCAACCCCTGCCCGTTTGCAGGAATCTTCAAACTGTCCAAGAGGAACTGGCTGTTCTGTTAAACGCCACCCTAGTTTAGAGAGTCGTTGAGGCCATTTGAAAAAGCCTCCTCCTCCTTCTTCTTCTTCTTCCTCTTCCTCTTTCTTTCCCTTTCCTTAACCTTCACCTCCTCTTCCTTTTTCTTTCTTTCTCTCTCTCTCTACTATCTTCTCCTTCCTTTCATCCCATCTTCCTCCTCCTCCTCCTCCTCTTTCCCTTTCATCCTTCTCCCGAAGATGCTTTTTTCACGAGGCACCTGGACTTTCTGGTTTTTCTTTGAAGATGTTTTGCTTCTCATCCCAGAAGCTTCTTCAGATTCTGACTGAATGATGGGGAATGGAAGGATTTATACTCCTTGCAGATAGCTGGTCATTTGCCTCCTTTTAGAGAGTCGTTGAGGCCACTTGGAGGTTTGTCTGTGTCCTCAGGGTCACCTGAGTGGTGCCAATGGGTGTGGGGCCTTCTTGGAATTGCTGAAAGGATTTGTGTTGTAGACTGGAGGTAGATGATCTACCACACGGTCCTTTCAGCAGTTCCAAGAAGGCTCCACACCCATTTGCACCACTCAGGTGACCCTGAGGACACAGACAAACCTCCAAGTGGGCTCAACGCCTCTCTAAAAGAAGGCAAATGACCAGCTGTCTGAAAGGAGTATAAATCCTTCCGTTCTCCACCATCCCAGTCAGAGCTGAAGAAGCTTCTGGGATGAGAAGTGAAACGTCTTCAAAGAAAAACAAATACATCTCGGTCTGGAGAAGATGGAGAGATTATATTCAGAATAAATATGGGACTAAAAAGTTTCATTTGGGTTATGAGTAAACTCTAGAGTATTGTTATTATTAATAGTTTATTTTAATGGAATTAATATTAGTATGGTATTGTTTAATATTTAGGTTATGAATATGTTTATTATTGTGTTTAACTTTAATTTGTTTAAATTTGTGTTAAAGGGGAGTTAAAGCGTATTATGGACTTGGTTATTTTAATGGTTGGTTAATGTTAGATAGATTTTGATTATTATATTTGTAACCCTGGGTTCAGGTCTGGGAAGTGGGGGAGGGGGAGGGTGGGGTTTTGGGGTGGGTATGGGGGTTTATACTGTAATCTTTATAAAACTTTTAATAAAAAAAAAGAAAAGAAAAACAAGAAAATTCCAGGTGCCTCGTGAAAAAAGCACCTTTGGGAAAACACTCAAATGTCCACATCAAAGGCCTTTGAAAAAAGAGGCTTTGAGGAATGAGTGAAGCTGGCTGTCAATATAGACAGTCCTCGGCTTACAACAGTTCATTTAGTGACCGTTCACAGTTACAACGGCCATTTTTTTTCACACTTATGGCCATCGCATCCCCATGGTCATATTATCAAAATTCAGATGTTTGGCAAGTGATTTATATTCATGACGGTGAAAAGCAACTAACCGGTTCTTCCCAATTCCCAGTTAACTGCAAAGTCTCACTTCAGCTTCCCCAGCAGAAAATCCAAGCATGCAACTCCTCAATTTATTAATTCCTGATTAATAAGCGATCTTAGTACATTTAACATAATTTCCCAGATCGCACGAGGTGTCCGATTCCAACCGACAGCCTATTTCCCTGGAAATAAACTCCTTCCGTCTCCATTGCATTTATTTTTAAATGGCTTCAATAAATGGAAAGGGAAATTTTGGGAGGGGGGGGAACCAAAAACCACACTATTAAAAAAAAAAATCGCCATTTTAGAGATGCATTATAGGAACTGAATTGACAAAGGCTTTAATTCACCGGAGATAACGTCTCCCAAGAACATCGGGGTTTAACGTGCACAGATTTTAATGGTATTTTTGTCCCAAGTTTGTTTTGATTGAAATAGGATTTTTTTTTCCTTTGCCTTTCTTTCCAGGGGTTTTTGTATCTCCCCTACATCACCATCTTAAAGCCCTGACAATAAATTAGTCATGTTTTGTTTTTTTTTATGGCGATCCATGCATGCACCAGATGTTTAAAAGGCCAGCAAATTGACCAGATCTCTTTCCACCCGACCTTATAGTATGAACGCAGGGATGACAGGAATATTTTTCTCTGTCTGTATGAAACAACAAGGTAGGAGTTCGATTTTCTCCTCTGCCAGCTCCTGACCTGTTTTAAATCTTTTATTTTAAGCCTCGCTGGCTTAAAATAAAATAAAATAAAATTGAAAACCCGCTTTGCTGGATTCCTGGCTGCAGCCATCCCTTCGGCCGCTAGAGGGCACTCCTCCCCTCCCTTCCCAGGCTGTAAATTGATCAAGGCAAGAAGCTGGGAAATAATTAGTTTTATGTATATAATATTCGATCATGAAAATATCCTTTCGCCTGATCCTAGGATGGGGATCCCGTAATATATGTTAAAACGGTTAATTTTTTTTTTCTATTATCTCTCCCCGAATTGGTTTTTTTTTTTTTTACCAGTCCTGCCCCCCCCCCCCAAATTATGTGTAGCATCCACTGAAAAGGCAAGGCGAAGACTTAAGGCGCGCGTTAAATCTAATTTTTTTTTTCCTGTGCAAAACCTAATTAGCCATTACCCAAAAAAAAAAAAAAAAAAGGTTTAACGCCAGCGCCTGAGACGGTTTTTGTTTAATAATCCTATTACCGACTGGCTCATCATGTATAAAACGGTGCGGTAGATGCAAAAAATGGTCCATTTGTTTGGTTAGGGAAGAAATGGAATAAGCCAGGGAAGGGCGACCGGCTCCGGCTGTCGTACCTTTGCCGAGCCCACCGCCAGCCGGGCGTTTTTCCCCCCAGATCTCGCTTCCCACCGACGGTAAGGTAGGAAATCCGAGTCTTTTCAGCTCGTTGCCAACAATTCTGAAAGTCGGGAAGATTTCTTGCGGGCTGGACTTCAATTTCTCGCCTTCTCTCCCCCGGGAGGGAAAGAGGGCGACCGATAGAGGGGAAATCTCTGAGACCCTTCCTCGTGGTCTCCCTCCCTCTCTCCCCCCCCACCCCCCCACGCCGACCCTCCCAGATTACACTGGGACGAGGGCAGATCGACCCGAAGGGGGGGGGGTCTCCAGAATTGAAAACTGCAGAATTGAAAGCTGCAGAATTGAAAGTTGGCATTTAGCAGGGTTTTTTTTGGGGGGGGGAAGTTTTGTCTTTTTCAGGGGGGGCGAAAGGAGAGAGAGGGGGGGGTGTCCGACTGCGGGATGGGGGCTAATTGAAATCGCCCTCATTTTCGAGGCACCCCAAAAATCGAGGCGACCCCACCCATCTCCTCTTCCTCCTCTCCTTTCCTCTCCCCCCATCTCTCTCTTTCTCCACACCTGTCCTTGTCGTTGCATTATTATTATTATTATTAATAATAATAATAATAATAATAATAATAATAATAATAATATTATTATTATTATTATTATTATTATTATTATTACACACGCACACCCGTTCCGAGTCGCACCGTTGTGACAAGGGCAAAAAATAACAGCAACAAAAAAAATAATAACCCTGTCCTAAATGGGTGGGCCGTCCGAAGGAAGGAAAAAAAAAAAAACACGAGTTATTTTAGAAAGAGGCGTCTTTCTAGGGGTAACCTGGTGGTGGTGGTGGGGGAAAGCGGATTTGCTTGGGAATCGGGGTGGGGGTCCCCGCTGAGCCCCTTCTGGTTGGGTTTGATCCGTAGCCAAGTTTGGCCAGTTCTCAGCGACAATCCAGTCCGCCCGAAGTGCCATTTTTAGCCCAGCATTCGAACTCAGCTCCGTGGAGTTTGGCTTCTTCCCGTTTTATTTCGCTTCTCTAAAGTGGCTGCCGTCGCCGCAAAAAGGCAGCGCTGCCGTTTTTCATTCCCCTTA